CATTTGTGTGCCTGAAAACAATTCTTGTATAGATTTATTTGCATAATTTAAGAAACAAGTATGTGATGCTTTAAGAATGTCCATTAAAAAGTGAAATCTTAGAGCAGTGCTAAGAAATGAACAGAAAGAGTGAGCATGTGTGACACTTCCACTCTCAAACACTCCTGGTTTCCAGTGAGTGCAGCTTGCAGAAGTTTCTGACACCAGCAGGAGTCAGGCTCTTCAGCAATCCCCCATGAGCTCTCTTCTCACAAAGACCTCCTCAATGCTGAGAACTCTCAAGAACAGCATCCTTTGATAAGTACTCTCCAGTCTCCTCTTGCACCAACAAACAATTTTGAATTCATAGCATTCTTCCACGAAGTTCTACAGATCTGCTACCTACCATGTTATGGATTACCTCCTTTTCTTTGTTTTGAACAGAGGTCTGAGTAGTATCAGTTGTTCTAGCATTGGAAGACACCTTTAAAACAGGTGTTTCCAATCCAATTTACAAGTTTGCAAACCTCTTACACATCCACCTCAAAGTTTTTCTCCTGTCTGGAGGAGACATAACCTACTTTTAGTCTTCCTTGGACCAAAAGAATTCCGTACCTTTGATAATTCTTGCTGCCTTCTCTGAAGCTTTCCCAGTTCTGATATGTATTTTTGAGGACAGGAGATCTGAAGTACACACAATATCTGAAGTACAGGAATACCGCAAACACAATGGAACTGAGACAGTTTTTGTTATATTCTTGGTCCCTTTTTAAATTAAGGCTAACAATTTATTTTCTTTTGGCACGTCAAGCACTGAGCTGACATTTCCATGGAATCATTTATCCTGATGCTATAAAAATGACCCTTCCCTTTGACTGCTCTTTCCTTTGTTCCCCTTTGTTCTCATAGCTGTATACTGAATTTAACATGCCACTTTGCTGCTATGTCCCTCAGGTTTGTATGGCCCTTCTCTAATTCTCAACCAATCTACTTTCATTCCTATACTGAACACCACACAAGGATCTCACTATTACATATCCAAAAGAAGTGAACCACTGGATTATATATTTTGCTGAAACAGATAACCAAGCATCCCTAAGTAGTAATCAAAAGGTGTTATAGACAAATACTGAAAAATTGAAAAATGTATCCTGTTAAATTATCTGTAGTTGTCCATTCTCCCTTCTTTGAAAAGCTTTCACCCCAAAGTTTCAAGCAAAGGGAAGGTGCAGTTGGGACTCCAGTCACTCCCAAAGAAATGTAGAGCCTGAGCATAAAACCCTTTCCTTGGCAACTTAAGACAAGTGAGCTTCTTAAGCTGGCAGGCTCCAGGTGCAGGCACACATTTTTCCATACATCTGCCATGATGGCAATGACTTCTGGTAGAGATGCAGCATCAATGGTATCCACCTAAGGTGCAGGGATTTCTCTGAAACGTGTCAGCAGGCAGAGATTTTCCACACTGTAAGGCCTGAGCCTAACCCATCCCCTGGACCCTGCCAATCCAAAATTCCTAACTGCAATGGAACTTTTTCCATGTAAAGATACAAGACTGGATGATCACTAGAAAATTAAGTAAACACATTGAGGGTGGCCCTCCCAGAAAGACGTGCAGACATACAAAAGGTCTTTCCATTCCATTTTTAAGCATGTCTTTACTATTTATTTATGAGCTTTTGTTATAACAAAGCCTAGTGTTTGAAATGTGCAATATCTGGCCTAAGTGTAATAGAGCATTTATACTCAAAGAACCTCCACAAATACTAAAATCTTGCCCTAAAGCATACACATGCCAGCTACTCACTTTGAACTATCCTTATTTGATTAATAAACAATCAGACCACATCTTCAAATCCATCTACCTTGAAACAAGACTATGTTAAAAACAGTTAACTTGTCAATTTAAAATGAAGATTTCCATTAGAGTAATAGATAGTGTAAAACCTACTTAAAAAAATAATCAGTTTAATATTTTATTGACTTTGTATGCAGGGAATTATCGTAACAAGACAATTATTTTATTTCTTGAGTTACAATAATTGGGAATTTTGAACATTAGTCCACCAAAACCCACTACACATAAAAAAAAAAGAATAATGAAATATTGTTCTTTCTTTTTAGAACCTTTAATAATTGTATGTTCTCCTTTAAAATAAGTTAGTCTGGCACAGTAAATATGAAAGGGGAAAAAAAAGAGTAACATGCTTCCCTAGAAATAGAGAGCAACAAGCCCAACAAAAAAAAGCAATGAAGCTGAAAATTATCTGAACATTCACAGTGCTGGTTTTTCAGTTTCATATTAGAAATGGAGTTAAGACAATGCTGGATAATATTTGATTTCTCCAAGAACTGATGACTACTCCCTCCAAATTATCAGATCTCAAAAGAGAAATACAGCCATTCTTGAAGATCAGCTGCCATCTAGTGAACAGTGAGAATACTGTTTAAAACATTACTTTCAGTTTTTTGCCAATTTAAACAAGATTCTTGGAGGAATATTGTTTGCCACTTCATCTCTGTCAATTTTGGGGTCTGTAAATTATTCAGAAGCATGGCTACTAAAAAGTATGCATTTGACATAAGAGTAATGTCACTCAGCTAAGTTTTCTATGAAAATATATCAATAACATACATGTGATTCCACAATTTGTTAAAAATAAGCGAATCCTCTGGCCTTTCAATAGGACATATTCGTTTTTTTGGGGCTTCACTATACTAAAAAGAACTGAACTATCAGTGTCTTAAAGTAAAATAATCAGTATTACAGCAATAAAATACAGAAAAACTTTAAAGAAGTTTAAGTAAAAATTTACTTAAATGCAGTCATCAAACAATAATAGCAGAGTTTTTATATTGAATACTAACTTTTGTTACTTTGTTACTTAAGGTTAGATTTGCAGGTGTTTTTCTTCTCATAAGAAATCAGATTTTCCAGATGTTACAATAAGTCAGTTAGAGGGAACCACTATATATGAAAATAAACCACAGAGCTCATTGCAAATATTCAATTTCCCATACTTTCCTTTCCTAAACACAACTTTCTAAAACCAAGCAGAGGATGTACCACTTACAGTTTGAAACTCTGAAACACAAATCTGCCATTTTACACAGAGTATGCTTTGAGTACATACTTGAGGGCACTCATGTTTATGAAAACCTTTGCTGGAAAGAAATAAAACAAGAGAATATGTTTATAAGACATTGGCTTGAAAATACACTTGCCTTCTTGGAATGAAAGTTCCTTATAATCTTTTGTCTGTACATTCTCTGGTATGTCCTCCAACAAATACCTGCTAAGTCTACATATTCCATATGAGCATATTCCATATAAACATTTGCATATGTATGCAGTAAATAACATTGCTATGAAAAGAAAGATTAAGTAGATATTCAGAAGTAGAGGAATATAAAATAAATACTGAAATTAGAAAATTTGGTAATGAATTGAAAGGAAAGCTATTTACAGGCCCCTTTGCACATAATTAGGCTTAAGGAGAAGGCTTGCTGTTTTTCACACTATGCAGCCCTACAAAATTTTGTGAGTTACTATTCAGCATTTAGAACTATTGTGAACTGGTTCTCTTAACACTGCCTGCTTTTATTCACATGACTTACTGAAATACTTTGTGTACAGCCTTGGTTCAGTAAGCAATGTGATTAAACCACAAAGGTTTTCTTACACTGTCCCTCCTGAGGCCTTCAGAATACAATGCAGGACAGATTGTAGTTATGCTGTAAACCACCTTCTCTGGGTTTTCTGTGAATTTGACTGTGTCTGACTAGCACTGAGTATTTGACATCCCAATTTTTGTATGTCTGTGGTCTCAAAGTCTGTGTGTATTCAGCACGTGTGACTTTATTTAAAATGAAGCTACTTTCAAGAATAAAACTATGCACATACTAAATTTTATCTTGTAGCCTACAACACTGGCAGACCTCCTGGAAAGATTTTTATAAAAGCACCACACAATTCATCGCATAATCTAAGAAGGTGGTGGACCAAAACTTTCCTTAAATGCTAACTAAGTATTTGTCAGAGCAGCACACTATAACAGGTTTACCAAATGTTGAATGAGTGTCTTAATTACTTGTATCAGCAGCTTCTCAAGCCAATCGTGTGGCTCCCCACATCTTTTAACCAGCACCCACAGCTAAGTGACGGTGACCAGTGACCACTGGTGACAAAGGAGCAGAGGGAAGTACTGGCAGGGGCACAGGAATGGGGAAGCCACACATTTGGGAAGATGTTTCAGAAGCACCAACCAAACGGGCAATGCTGAGGGCTCAAAAAGAGGGCAAAGAAATGAGGGTGGCAAACAAGTCCTGTTGTGGATAACAAGCCAGATGACAATTAGAAAAGGGGGGGTAGGGGGGGCCAGTGTATTTCATCTGTGGAATGAGGGTATAAGAGATCTCCAGGACACAGCACTCACCTCACAGGCATTGCTTTGACAGCCCTTCCAAAGGAAGGCCCAGGGCAGTGGCTGAGGCAGGGCATGAGGGAGGTGGCAGACATCGAGTACTGTGGCCAGTTCTGGGCCACTCAGTTGAGGAAGGCCATTGAGGGACTGGAACAGGTCCACAGAATGGCAACAAAGATGTTGAAAGGCCTGGATCACAAATCCTATCAGGAATGGCTGAGGGAGCAGGAAAAAGAGGCTCAGGCAGGACCTCATTGCTCTCCACAACTCCCTGAAAGAAGGCTGTAGCCAGGTGGGGCTTGGCCTCTTCTCCCAGACAGGACAAAAGGCCACAGTCTCAAGCTGCACCAGCGGAGGTTTAGGTTGAACATTAGGAAAAAATCCTTCACAGGAAGGACGACTGGATATCGAATGAACTGCGCAGGGATCACTGTCCCTGGCTGTGTTTAAGGACAGACTGGACGTGGCACTGTGAGACACGGTGATGCTAGCACACAGGCTGTACTCGATGACCTCGGAGCCCCACTCCCACCGAACTCCTCCCGCGACCCGCGCGGGCCGAGGCGGGGCGCAGTGCGCGTGCTCCGCTGTGGCGCATGCGCGGGGCCGCCTGTCAGCGCGCGAGCGGCCGGGCTGCGCTCCGGCCCGGGGTCCGCGCCGGGGGTCCCGTCCCGCCCGCCGCCGGGCGCTGGCGGAGCGGGAGCCCCGCGGGAAGGCGAGGCGCGGTGAGTAAGGGGCCGACGGGCCCGCGCAGAGCAGAGGGGTTGCTGCCCTCACTCGCGGAGGCAGCGATGGAGGCGGCAGTCTTAAAGCTGCTCCCGCCCGACCCAGGAGATGAGGGCACGCAGCGGTGCCGCTTGGGACCTGCCGCGCTCTCCTTCCTGGGAGCCAGGATCGGCGCCCCGCTGAGGATCTCCTTGCCCGGCGGCTGCTGCCTGTGCACGGCGTGGCCCCGGCACGACCTAGCGGATGGGTACCTGCAGGCCGACCTCAGCTGCAGCAGCGCGGGGCTGAGGGCGCGGCGGCTGCGCGGCCTCTCGCTGAGCGCGGGCCGGCTGCGGCCGCTGCCGCACCGGCAGCTGCGGGCGGCGGCCGTGAGAGTGGTCCTCAAGAGCGCCGCGCTGAAAAAGTCGACTCCCAGAGCGGTGTTGCAGGAGACCATCAGAGAACTGCTAAGAAACGTGTACGTTGCGCCTCGTTATGTTGTTACTGTTGCCCCGAGTCCCGAAAATCCTGCGGTGTATATTGAAATACTGTCTGCGTCTCCTTTGGTGGAGGAGGAGGGAGCTGGATTGATAACTCCCCAAACAAGCATAAAAATTAAGGAGGTGATCACTTTAGAATGGTACAGACATCTGTCCGAAGACACTGCAAAAACTCCAATTGCAGGACTGGATGATGTAGCGAAGTCTTTGAAAGAAATTATTGATCTGCCTTTCCGCTTTCCAAAAACTTTCAAGAAGCTGGGTCTTTCTGTCCCTAATGGAGTGCTGTTAATTGGGCCCCCAGGTGTGGGGAAAACTCTAATGGTAAAGGCAGTAGCCAAAGAGCTGGGTGCATATCTGTTTGGCATCAGTGGCCCGGCCCTCCATGGTTCAAGACCAGGAGAAGGTGAAGAGAATTTGCGAAGAGTCTTTGAAAAGGGCAGAGAGATGTCAAACGAGGGCCCAACCATTCTCTTTTTTGATGAGATTGATTCATTATGCCCAAAGCGAGGAAATTCAAACAATTCTCCTGAAGATCGTATTGTTGCTCAGTTGCTGACGCTGCTGGATGGTGTAGGGAGTGAGGGTAAGATGGTCATTGTGGCAGCAACAAACCGGCCTGATGCCATAGACCCTGCACTGAGAAGACCTGGCAGATTTGACAGAGAGGTAAATAAACCCTGTTATTCATACATTCACATTTTTCTTTCTTCATTGAGGTGGAAGGGGGCTGTTAATAGGTTTTTTTTAATGTCTTCTAGTCATTTCATAGTGGGATTCTACAGGTTTGACACAGGTGTCTTGTTTCTGTCTTTAGTTTGCTGCAACTTGGGTATGGTTGTTTTGGTGTTTTTTACTCAGATCACTGAGAGCTCCATGTACATGGAAATGGATGGGAGGAATCCTTTTACTTCTTTATCATAAAGACATTGACCTGATCTTCAGGGGCTTTGTTTGCTTACAGATGCTTAGCTTTACAGGATTGGATTTTTTCCATGTAAATCCTAGATTGCAGATTTGTGCATTTCTCCTTAAACATTTATTGTGACAGAGAACTAGTAACCTGCTGTGTCAAAACTTCTATTCAGGTTTCAGTAACAGAGGTTGGGTCTACTTTGGAAAACTTCCTTTAGCCTTTTAGTCCAAAGAAGAAGAACACATACAGTTATACAATACACAGTGCTTGTGCTTGTATTGTTTCTTTTCCTGGATAAACCCACTCTAGATCACCAGTTCAATCAAGTTCTTTAATGCTTTAATGATTATAAATTTAATTATTTTCTGGGCTTTATAATAATTAATTATTAATTATTATTTCATTATTATCTGAGATGTATTTTTATGATGATGTTTTACCAGGTTTTCAATAATGTATGAATGTTTATCTATTTTATTTTTTCCTAACATATTAGTCTAATTTAGTGCTTGTGATGTAAGGAAATTATTATTATTTCAATGTCTTATCAACAAATCTTCATGCAAACACTGTTCACTTGGAAAGTAAATGGTATTTTAAATACTTGTCATTTGTATAGAGCTGGCAATAGCTTTCCTGTAAAACTCTTTTGTTGGGATATAAGTATATATAAATTTTCAGTAGCCAATATAAAGCAGAGACAAAGTTGCTTGCTTAGGTCTGTAAAATAAATGAGAATGGCAAATTATCTACTTAAAATTTTTGTTTATTGTGTTTGGTTTAGGTTATTATCGGGACCCCAACAGTTACACAGAGAGGATGCATCCTGCAGTTGCTTACATCGGACATGCCCATTTCTGCAGAGGTTGATTTGGCTAAGCTGGCAGAAATGACCACTGGGTATGTTGGAGCTGACCTTACAGCACTCTGCAGAGAAGCTGCCATGCAGGCTGTGTCCCACAGCTCTTTGGTATGGTTGCAGATCAGTCAAGAACAATGTCAGTAATATTTGTACTACCCTTTCCTCATTAATACTTGAAAAGCTCAACATGTTGAAGACTCGCACCAATCATATTATAAATATAAATATGTTATTTTTGCTCCTTTCAGTTTTCTCCTTAGTCCTGTTACTGCATCTGTGCTTTAATAGTGGCATTTTATAACCTGTTTCAGATAAAATGTGTTACATTCTTCAGTGTGTGGTGAAAATGGATTTTGCAACTTTTTTCTTTCTATTTGTAAGATTGTGGGATGTGATGTATGTTAACCCTGAAAACAACTATTTGATTTAGCAGATCACTGCCTAATGGAGCTATAGTTTAGGGACTAGTAGTTTTCTCTGAAACATTAATTTCTGTTAATTTTTTTTATTAAAACTTGTTTTTTCTGATAAACTTTTTTTGTAAAAACTTGTTATTTACTTTATGTTGCGCTTTTGTTTGTGCAGTGTTTAAGCTCATTAGGTCAGGTATTGACTTCCTTATTAGTTGTATTTAGCGCTATGTGATGTGTTTTGCATATTAATGAAGCATTTAAGTATTGCATTAAAATGGTGTTAATATGCTCTATCTGGGCTTACTTTTTCAGGATTCAACTGAAACTGAAACCATGATCAACATGGGAGATTTCCAAGAAGCTTTTAAAAAAATTCAACCATCCTCTTTTCGAAGTGCAGTTGGACTAACAGAGTGCAAACCTGTAACTTGGGAGCAAATTGGTGGTCTTGATGATGTGAAATTAAAGTTAAAACAGGTAATGGATTAAACTAATTAAAATAAACAGCTAATTTCTAATATGTTCTCCAAGGTATTCTGTATGCTGCATTATGAAAATTATTTCTTTTGCAAATTACTTGATTATAAATTGTATTTTTAACACTATTACAGTGTTATCACAATGTTTGAATTAGGAATCTTGCAGTTACAATCACCGAGCATAGTAATACCATAGGAAAATAGGCATGTTTTTCATAGCTGAAAAATGCTTAACTTGTATCCAGATAATTTTTCCATTCCTGAATGTTTATCCAGGGATGGCTTTTGGCTGTTATCTCTTCAGGAATGCTTTTAGTTCTGTTTCAAATAGAAAATTTAAGCAGGGGGCATTTTATGATGAAAGACTATATCACTATTCTCTGATTTCCAATTAATGTTTGTATCAAGGAGAGGAAATTATGTACTTGTAGTTTTATTGTTACTAGGAATTTCATCCCTTTTTTATGTATTGCCAGAGTATTGAGTGGCCTATGAAATTTCCTGAGGCGTTTGCCAGGATGGGCCTGTCTCATCCCAAGGGTATTCTTCTCTATGGGCCACCTGGGTGTGCCAAAACCACGCTGGTGAAGGCTGTGGCCACAAGTTGTCACTGTTCCTTTCTGTCTGTAAGTGGTGCTGACCTGTTCTCACCTTACGTTGGAGATTCAGAGAAGATTTTGTCTCAGGTACAGTTTTTAATTTGTGTAAGATTCTGTAGTCTATTTTTGCTTGATTTTTGTAAAGTATTCGTTAGACCTAAATTCTGTTGTTGAAAAGATGATAGAGCTGATTATACAATAGAAATGGCTTACAGATTGACTTGTAGATAAAGTGAGAGTCTATCCCTAAAATTATCCCAGTGTTAAACTTTAGATTTCTAGCCTTTTGTTTTCAGTTCATTTAGGAATATAAAAAAGAAGCAGAATTTGTCAATAATAAGTGTAATCCAGAACAGCTCTTAAGAATTATTATGAATGTACCTTTAAAGTTAAGTAAAATACAGAGTACATGTGGGATTCTTTTTTCACCTTAACTAATAGACTGCAGGCATTAATGCTTTATTTTATTAACATTTGTTGAAAAGGTTTTTCGCCAAGCAAGAGCAAATACTCCAGCAATAATATTCCTAGATGAGATTGATTCTATCCTGGGATCTCGGTCACTCTGCAGAACTGGCCATGGTGTCTCAGAGCGGGTTCTTTCTGTTCTTCTCAATGAACTGGATGGGGTTGGGCTGAAAGTTACAGAAAGAAGAGGAGGCAAGCTACAGCTTGAGGCTCAGTGCCAAGAACAAAGTGATGAGGAAAGAAAGGTATTTTTGCTCCCTGTTCTGTATAGGAGGAAGGAGAAGTGTTGTCTAGTTGTTTCAAAAATTTTAGTTGTTGACATTCCCATTTTAAACTTAAAATCCTCAAACTTAAAAACATACAAGGAGCTGTTTTACTCTATCATAATTACTTGTTTTTAGAAGATACTGTATATAGGCTGCTGATTGTTTTTACGTACACTGTTTCTCAGTGAGGCTTTGTTTGAACAAAATACCCACACAGGCTAATGAGTATTACTAGTTGGGTGTTCATCTTCTGTCACAAAAATCCTTTCCTTGAAACTAAAGAAATTTTTTAGATTGATTGCGTGATTTTTAGTCTTAAATAAATTTTTCCCTGAGCTTACTTTTTATAAATATTTTCCCTACTTCATTTGCAGTTCTTTCTCACACATAATGCATACAAAAGCAGCACAGTTATGATCAGTTAGTTATTTAAACAAAAACTTATACCTTCACTTGTCAATGAATTGTTCACAACATTTAATATTTAGCTTTTTTGTATATATATTTTTTCTTATGTTGATACTTTCAGAGGGAATAATAAAGAAAACAGTTCCAGAATTGTAGGATACTGATTTTTTTGCATATAAAAAGTTGTTTGTTACAATCTGGTCAAAGAAAAGTCTTCATTGCCAAGGCAGATATTAACTGTATTTCTTCTTTGTCATGTAATCTGCACTGCACCAAGGCAATTTTTAACTTCAAGAAAGATAAAATACTAATATTGAAGGGAAGATAATTACTTGTAATATTACATTATCTTTTTGCCCTTCCCCTCTTCTCATTAGTAGTTAACTAATAGCTTTTGATAATATCTATCCTAGCCATGTGCACTGATTTGTTTACATGATCTCTTATGCAGCTAGAGTTTCAGGAAACTTTGAGCAAAGATTTCATGGTAGTTGCTGCAACAAATAGACCAGATATGTTGGATGATGCCTTACTCCGTCCTGGAAGGCTGGACAAGATGATCTATATTCCACCACCAGATCTGGAGGTATTACACATCCATATGTGGCTTTAAAGAGAGAGATATTCATTGCCAGCATACTTTAAGAGCAAAGGGGGCATATTCCTGTAACATATTTGACAAATGGTGGGTGTTTCACTGGAGATCAGTCACCAAATTCAAGGTACAATTAAAAAATTTAAAAAGTAATAAAGATATTTGTATTTTAAACACCAATTACAATTTCACTGGTGTAGGTAGTTACAGTATTGCATATGGAAAATAGAGAAAATGTGTATTACAAAATCAAGCTACAATTCAGGACATACCAAAATAAATTGTCTGTCCTTGCTTCAAATAATTTTTGTGTTCCGAAGGCTAGTGTAGCTATTTGTCCTGAGCTTCACAAAAGAAAAGGTGTCCCAAAGCATGCCAAATCAGGCCTGTTCAGCCTAAAATACTGTGTTTTCTTGAAGCAAGGAGTGACTGTGCATAATAGACCTTAAATATATGAGACAACCAGAAGTGCATTATCTTCATTAATAGCATTTTATTCTTCCACCAGAACCAGGTAGTTTTGCTACTTTTCTGGAATTTCCTTGGCTCTAATTTCAAGTTTGATACTGCTTTGGAAAAAGATTAATTTTTAGTTTATTTGGTTTTGTTTTCTTGCATAATATGCACCAATTTACAGGGAAGACTTTGCATTTTGAAAATCTGCACCGAAAAAATTCCATTGGATACCAATGTGTCATTACAAGATGTGGCAGTCCTAACAGACCTCTTCTCTGGAGCTGATATTGAAAATCTGTGCAAGGAGGTAAGAAACACTTCTGGCTCACCTGTGAAATAAACTCTAAATAGCAACTTTGAATTAAAAAAGAGAGCTAACTCATAGATGTGACTAAGCCATCTGTAGTACAGGTACTTTCCCAGTTTGCATTGAAAATCCAAAGGAAATGCTTAAAACAGAAGAACTGAACAAGGGTTCATTCTTTAAATAAAATACCAACTAAGAATAAAGTCTATGATAATCTACCAGAAGTCAAGGAACTGTACTGCCCTTTATTGCATGTGGCCCTCTCTAATCCATGCTCACATCTAGGTGAATTGCATTCTTTGTACTGCAAGCTGAAATTAGCAGGTACTGTCAAGTCTAGAAAGAGAAAAATAAGATAGAATAAGAGAAGAGAGATCCAGAATTTGAGTTGAGTTTTATAAAAGACAGAAGACTAGTAAGAAAATCCAAATGCATAAGTCATAATGGATGTATTGCCTAATCCAGATAGAAATAGTGAATGAAATCATTTTGGTAACCTTACTTGGATCTTTATCAGTTGTTAAATAACCGTAAGTTATACAATGCTGTTTTCAGATGCTTTAACCAATGCTCTGTTCCTTGTAAAATATCTTAGAATACTTACAGTATTCTTTACAATTTAAAACATGATAAGGACTAAGTTGGTTTTCTTTTTTTTTTTTTTTTAAAGGCTGCTTTGTTGGCATTGCAAGAGAATGGACTAGAAGCAACTGCTGTAAAACAGGAACATTTTGTGAAATCATTGCAGACTGTAAAACCATCTCTAAACATAAAAGAATTGGAATTTTATGAAAAATTTTCTAATCAATAATTAGCCTCTTGAATCTATAAAGGAGTGGCATAAGTATTTTTAAATATATTACAAAGATTTTGAAAACGTTCGCATCTTTCCTTTTTATATGTTTTTTAATACTGTACTTACTGTAGTTTTCAGGGAGTGTGAAATACAGTAAAGTGTCACTTTCAGAAAGTTCTGTAATTTAAGTAATGAATAATAAATTAAAATCTTGTTTGCTTTGGGTAGGTTTATGTCTGATGAAACAAGTAATTGAAATGCTTAGGTAAAACACCATGGAACAGCTTAGTGTTACTGTAGGTTTCCTACTTTTAAGTACAAAAGTGGCATAAGAAAATTTAGAATGTGTTGTGAAGTCTCCAAAAGACAGCAATAATGTAAGAAATAGAAAAGCTTTCAGAAAATTAAATAGGAAGAAGTCCCACTCTATATAAAATGTAAGGTGTTTTATATGTGCCTATATACAGGCTTACTTTCTTGCAAGCAGATTCCAAAATACAGTGGCAGTGAAAGGGCTGTCAGTGCTTAACTCCTTGGTGTAGGTTTGGAAGTCAGGGGTTTTGGGATTAATTTTAGATTAGTTACTGCTCACTGTACAAACATTTGGATTGAGTAAGCAGATACCAAGTATGTTATCAATTCAAACTATAATTTCTTCTTGAGAAAAGGGAGTTTGCGTAATGACAATTTCTGCAGAATTGTTTTCCCCACCCAGCCATTCCTTATCAATACATTTTTGTAGGTTGCTTTATAAAATACACAGACGCTTCTAAGGAAATTGGTATTACATGTATGTAAGTGCGCATTTTAACTTACTAGAGTAGGGAAGGTTTTTTGTTGTTGTTATCTTTTCTTTTTCCCAGTGAAAATGCTTGGGAACAAAATACACCACTCTCAAAGACAGTTCCTTATTTTAGCCAAGGTTCAGAAGTTATAAGCCCATTAACAAATATTTCTCTCTCATAACAGGCACACTAGGAACTGCACTGAGTGTGGTTTATACTGAGATGGATCAGAAAAGGAAGTTCCAAGGCAGTTGGTGACTGAGGAAGGCAAAAGGCAGTAGTGGAAGCTGTTGAAACCTAGAAAAGAGTTCAGATACAAACAACTGCCCTACAGCTTTGGTGGCTTTCATCACCAACTTATAGAAAGGACAGTCCTGTAGCTTTATTGGTAGCAGTGCTCATGATCTTCCCAAATACACAAAGGTTTCTCAGCAGCAGTGCTGAGAAAACATGTGAAAACTCTGTTTTGTTTCCTAGTGAGAGTTTGCATTGGAATTGCTGGACTTCAAAGTTGTTACAGTCACAACTTCTTGTTACAGTAACATGCTGCCAGCTCCTCTGCCCCAAAGATGCTGCTGCTGAATTTCCACACTTGCTCTCTAGAAGGAGCAGCTGAGCTGATTGTGCCTGTAGTGTCTGTTCTTTGCTGCAGGGAGCGAGCAGAACATGCGGGAAAGGCAGCCTCTCCTTCCTCTCACTGCTTTCCAGTGGGCAAGAGAGAAAGGGAGAAACAAATGTACAGGAGTCACCTGTTCTCACCTCCAGCCTGCCCTGGTAGTTTTTCTCAGAGAGGGATACTGGGACGTGATAGGAGCTGTGGAACACAAGAGAGTGATGAGAACGTGAGCCTGGGCTGAGCTTTTCCTGCAGCACAAGGGGACACGGTGACACTGGGCTCGTCTTGGTCACCTCTCCGAGCTCTGAAGAGGCAGGCTCTGTCATCACCTGGTCGTTTGCCCTGATACCCTGTTCTTTGGGCAGCTGCCTGGAGAAGGGGACAGACAAGACGAAGGAGAGTGGAGAAGCCGGGTGTGAGTGCTGCCGTCACGGAGAGGGAAGGATTGGCGCACCCCGGGCCGCTCTGCCCGGCCGCTCCCTGCGGCGCCTGCAGGGGCCGTTCGGCGCCGCCGCTGGGGGGCGCCGTCCCGCCTCAGGGCGCGGCGCTCAAAGAGCGCGGGGCGGGCCCGGCCGGCGCCGCCGCCTCAGCCGGGAGCGCCTCAGCCGGGAGCGCCTCAGCCGGGAGCGCCTCAGCCGGGAGCGCCTCAGCCGGGAGCGCCTCAGCCGCCGGGAGCGCCTCAGCCGCCGGGAGCGCCTCAGCCGCCGGGAGCGCGGAGCCGCCGGGAGCGCGGAGCCGCCGGGAGCGCCTCAGCCGCCGGGAGCGCCTCAGCCGCCGGGAGCGCCTCAGCCGCCGGGAGCGCCTCAGCCGCCGGGAGCGCCTCAGCCGCCGGGAGCGCGGAGCCGCCGGGAGCGCCTCAGCCGCCGGGAGCGCGGAGCCGCCGCCAGCATGAACAAGGGCATCCTGCACACGCTGAGAACGCGAAAGGAGGTGAGCTGGCCTCAGGGGTCGGGGCCGTGGTTACCCGCCCGCGGGGAGGGATGCGGGGGGCTCGGGCGGCTGCACCGGGGTTGCCACTTGATTTCCCGAGGAAATGGGAGCTCGTAAAGTTCGTGCTAAAAGTGAGGTGTGGAGGGTGTAGAGCAGGGTAATATAGAGGTAAACGTGAAATTTGCGTATTAAAAGTGAAGTGGTGTAAAGAGTAATATGGAGGTAATGTACAGGAACAGGTGATCCCTCCCTAGTTCTGTGTAACCCTTGCTCCCCCTACTCGTGGGTCTGTAGCTGGCACGGAAGATCACCTCTTTTCTCTATTTTATCTTTCAGCTCATTCCCCTGGCCGGAATATTGTCCTTGGCAGCAGTTGGGGCGTTCTCTTTTTGTGTCTATTCCCTATTCAGCAAATCTGATGTGATGTAAGCAAAAACTTACTGCTGGGAGTTTACCCTAACTTGTTTTATTCAACCGAGTATTTGACTATCATGTCTTAAACACATAAAAAAGCAAAAACAGAAAGGATGCAGGCACATGTTCCACAGTACTGGAAGTAGTAGTAATGACTAAAGTATCTGCAGGTTGTAAATAGTGAGGAAATCAATTAATGTGGAGTGTAGTTCAAGTTATTTTCTAACTTTTGATTTAATACTTATGTTTTTCTTTGCTTTAGGTATAAGAAGTATTAAATGTTCTAATTAAGAATTTCATACAATCACATAGGTAGAAGAGATGCACATAGATGAGATTGCACCCAGGCTATTGACTTTTATATAAAAGAACAGTGTTTGATAGTATTAACTTAAGATAGTATTCTAGTGGCTTGGCTGGTAATTTGAGCCAAGTCTTATACTCTTAAAGCTTTTGGGAATTTATTTATGTATTTTAAAGTGACTGGAGTAGGCATTTTAACTGTCAGGGGGAAAGTCCTCTTACTTTGTGTCTTTATTCAGTTTTGATTTTTCAGCTTGCTTCCCTCACAAAGATATGTGAGCAGTGCTGGCTTGCTTGTTGCTTTGGAAGCTGCAAATAAAGCAACCCATCATTGTCTCCTATCCAGATTTAACATACAGTGCCCAAACCTGTAAATTTGTGGTTTAGGTAGCTCTTTACTAAAGTGAATAGCTCTATGATAATAGGCTGCTCATATGAAAATGTGCTTAAGGACACACCTTGAAACATAATACCTGTTTTATCTTCTTTTAAAGCATTCACAAGATTGGCAGTTCAGAACCATGGGAAACTATTGATCCTGCCAAGCCTCAGAAGGTAATTTGTACATATAATATATGTATAAATAGTATAAGTTTCCAGCACAATGGATCACTTCTTTCAATATGTAAGAACTAGAAAAATATGAACAAGAGAATAACTGTAAAGTTGATATGTATCTAGTTAAATGTGGAAACAAATGCTTCATTCATTACTTTGTCTTCATTCTATTTCTTAATGATAGGGATCTCTTACACTGTAGGTCTGATCTTAAATTCATACTGTACTTCTGGTTGTCCTGTGTCCATTCCCACCCCAAACATCCATTTACTCAATTCCATTGATAACAATGGAAACTTGGAGTATAGAGGAAGTGCTGTTTACCTTTACCTTGTTCCTGAATTACAGAATTGAGTAAGAATATTTGAATAATGTAGCCTGGAGGAAAAACATCTTCATTTATTAGGGCACTTAGGATAAGGAAAAGTAAAATTATTTGGCATGATTACTTAACTAATATCCAAGTGATTTTGTTCAACAAATTACTATGTCATCTGTTGCATATTTCTGAAAAGAAAATGTAAAGCCACTAGAACTTCTTCGTCAATAAGATGATGTTTGATATGGGAGTGGTTTGATATGCTCACTGGATTTTACTAACTTTCATATTTTCCATTTCTTCCAGCTGGTAACAATCAATCAGCAGTGGCAGCCTATAGAAGAGCTGGAAAAGGTCAAAAAGCTTACGAAGTGAGAAGTTTCTGTTGCCTGAAAAAGGTACCCTATGAATCTAGTGGAATCATTTCTGCACAAACTTGACTACTGAAATCAGTGTGCGGAAATGCTTCTGCTACATTTTTAGGGTCTCCCTACATTTTTTTGGACTCTGGATGAGGAGTTTCATGTTGCTTTAGAAGCTGACATACAGCATCCACATAGTCCAAAAATCTGAATCAAAATATTAATTTTCAATAAGCATTTGATGTAAAATTTTGAATATTCAGATGGTAATTATGCCTTCATAGTTTTTGTAGAATTTCAGGATTTGTTTCAAAATACATTAGTTTTGCCATTTTATTCATTTTTAATTAAAAAAATCAAAATTTATACATTTACTGTAAATTCAAAAACCTTTCTAAATTGGGATTCCTGGTCTCCTTCCTTTCTGTTCTGTATTTCAATGTTATATAGACACCAAAGTCATAGCCAGAGAATGTTTTTGTATGGCAACATATGTGGTCATACAGTACACTTGCATTCCTTGTCTGTGTTAGATGTGGGGACAGATTAAGTCAAAACTAATGTTGTGCTGCAAATACTGAAACTTAGCCACTGAGGAGTCCAATAGGCTATTTAAGACAGCATATTTAGAACCTCAAAACCTAAGAGTTAAGCATGACTAGAAGGGAAATGAAAATCAGGTAATTTCTTCTGTATTTAAATATTGCTCATGATTGAATTTTTTTTAAGTTACTTGAATTAGAAATTCTGCATTATCCAAAACTACGCACTGTTAATTTCTTCTTTTTGTGCAACATAGTTCAAGTGCAAGCTGCAATTTACTGCATAATTAACAATATTTTTAAAGATTTCTACATGCTATTAGGAATATATCTCTTATCAAATAGAAACTAACAGATTAAAATTAGGAATGATTATATGAAGAGACAATTCCTCTTTA